CATGATGCAGCAGCGGCTGGGCTATCCACAGCACCCGGCCTCAACATGCAAGGCGCTGCCCAGGCACTGCGATGACGTGAGTGCCCTGCAGTGCAACTCCATGACCAGCTCACAGACCTATGAGAACGTCTTACCCACCTACAGCATGCCCTACTCACAGCAGGGCACTCCTGGCATGGTGCTTGGCTCCCGAGGCCCCCTCCAGCCCCCTGCTCTCAGACCCCCCCCCCCACTCCCCTGTGGTTACCTCCTCCTCCTCTTCACTCTGGGGCACCCTGCCAGGCCAGGGACCTCCAGCACATGATCTGTATGTATCTCCCCCGCATCAAGGTGCCCAGCCAACGGCACACTGCCCCTCTTGCACATGTGAGGGCGGGACAGTGAACTGGAGGGGGCGATTTTCAAAGAAAAGAGAAGGGAAATAGGAGGAGAGTACAAACAGCATGGAGAAAACCCTGGTGCGCAGATGAGGCTGTCTGCAGAAGAGGCAGCAATCCCATCCACCCTCACAGAGAAGGCCGCCATGCGGATGACGTTTTTATATACTGGACTTCTTTTTTGGGGGGGCTGTTTCTGTACAGAGAAAACAGGGGGCCATGGGGTGGGGAGGGTGAGGGAGTGGACCTTGTTATGAATCTGGAGGAAAGAAAACGATGCAAAACTTTTTAAAGTTCTAGTGATATGGTAAGAGCTTTCCAGAAAGTTTGCAAAAGTCTTTACTAATAATATTAAGAGCTAGTCTTCTAGCAATGAAAAAAATATTTTAATATTTGCAAGCAACTTTTGTATACTATCTATGGAGATAAACGTGACAGTCAAAATGTCCATTGTTTATAAGCTGAGGGTTTGCCAACATTTTCCAAGGAAAGGCTTCTCGCTGAATTTTGATTCTGCAGCTGAAATTTAGGACAGCTGCAGATGTGGGAAAAAATTAAGATTTGAACATTTGTTTAAAAATTGTACAAAAGGGCATTTCGAGGACTTCCGCCAAGATGGAGGTTTAGCTGGATGTGCCTGCCTCCTCCCACAACCAAGTTTAGGGACAACTAAATACTAGCATCACAAAACACAACCAGAACACGGAAAACTGAATTTTTCGGAAGTCCGCTAACAACAAATTCTTCAGCCTGACCTAGGTAAGGGGCGAAACCGGCCTCCGGTGAGGACTTACAAAGGAGGGCTCGGTGGGACCCGGCGCGGAATCCGGGCGCGCGAATCCGGGCGCGCAAATCCAGTCGCGCCGGTTCCAAACCCAGGATTGGACCTGGTGAGCCGCCGAGCACCCCACCGGGGGAGCGACACAGTGGGGAGGCGGTGGCAACGAATTGACTGTGGTTGCCTGGGTGCGCACGAGTGAGGGAGTGAGCAGTTGGACCAGCCCGGCGGCGGCGGCGGCGGCGGCGGCGGCGGCGGCGGCGGCGGCGGCGGCGGCGGCGGCGGCGGCGGCGGCGGCGGCCCGCCATTTCCCGTCTGACCACGCCCCCACATACAGCGTCACAACCCAGCGACCTGGGACTCCAAGGCGCCGCTTGTCCCACTTAAAGGGCCAGAACAGACCAAAAATGTCGCAGGCAGAACTCAAAGCCCCAGAGATAAATCTAAATGACGAAGAAATAGCAAAACTCTCAGACGCACAGTTTAAAACACTGGTCATCACCTTCCTTACAGATTTGGTGGATTACAGCCACAAATTAGAGAAACATATGGAGGCTAAATTAAGGGAAATGAATGGAATTCCACAGGAATCCCATAGAGATGAAAAGGAAACTGGGACTCAAATCAATGCAGTGGTCCAGAAGAAAGCAAATAATGGACAAGCAGAAAAGAGTCAAGGAGCAAGAATTCAAAGAAATGAGGAGAGTCTTAGGAACCTCCAGGACATCTTTAAACGCTCCAATATCCGAATTATAGGGGTACCAGAAGGGGGAAAGACACAACCACCAGTGGAAAAACTATTTGAACAAATAATAAAAGAAAATTTCCCCAATCTGGCAAAGGAAATAGACTTCCAAGAAATCCAAGAAGCCCAGAGAGTGCCAAAAAAGTTGGACTCAAGAAGAAACACACCAAGGCATATTATAATTACATTAGCCAAAATTAAAATGAAGGAAAGAATCCTAGAAGCAGCAAGAGCTAAAGGGACAATCACCTACAAAGGAGTCCCCATCAGGCTGTCAGCAGATTTCTCAAAAGAGACCTTACAAGCAAGAAGGGGCTGGAAAGAAATATTCCAAGTCATGAAATCTAAGGACCTACAACCAAGATTGCTCTACCCAGCAAAACTTTCATTTAGAATGGAAGGACAGATAAGGTGCTTCTCAGATAAGACCAAATTCAAGGAGTTCATCATCACCAAGCCCTTATTATATGAAATGTTAAAGGGACTTATCTAAGAAAAAGAAGATAAAGAAACATGAACAGTGAAAGGACAACAAATCCACAGTTATTAACAACCACACCTAAAACGAAAGCAAACCAAAGGACAGCTACAGCAGGAGTGGAAACATGAAATGAAGATCTCAAGGAGGGTTAGCAACAGGGGAATGGGAGGAGGAGATGGGGGAGAAGGTACAGAAAACAGGTAGCATAGACAGTAGATAGAAAATAGATGGGGGGGGAGAGAATAGTTTGGGAAATTTAGAACCTAAAGGACTTGAGACACATGGACATAAACTAAAGGGGGGGTAATGGTGGGGTGGGGGGGCAGGGTGGAGGGGAAATGGAGGGGGGAATAGAACAACTGTAACAGCATAATCAATTCAAAAAATAAATAAATTTAATTTAAAAAAAAAAAAATTGTACAAAAGGAAAAAACTAGGATAAGTACTGGTAAAACTCTGTGGTCTTTAAAGCAGCAAGTTTTAGATTGTACTTATATTTTTTAATTTTTTAAAAGATTTAAAAATTTATCTTTAGAGGGGGAGAGAGGGAGAGAAATATCAGTTTGGTTGCCTCTAGTGCGACCCCTGCTGGGAACTGGCCTGCAACCCAGGCATGTGCCCTGACTGGGAATCGAACTGCGATCCTCTGGTTCGCAGACCTGCGCTCAATACCCTGAGCTACACCAGCCAGGGCGACCGTACTAAATTTTTTTAGCTTACTGTTAAAAGCAAAAATGGCCACGCAGGTTGACATCATTGGTAATTTATAATGGCTTGTTCCCCAACTTCCCATTTTGTTCAGATAAAAAACATGAAATTACTGTTAGAAATACTTTCTTATGGTTTGTACTATTTATTTATTGTGGTATTTTAGGGTCCCCCTCCCTTTTTTTCCCCATAGTTGTGTTTTGATTATTCAGCTCCGGATTATCGGGATCCGTCTGCTGAGAACCCACGTGTACACAGGGCAGAGGTAAGGCCTGCTCGAGTGTGGTCGGCAGGGTGATGTGGGTGTGGTGATGTAGTTTCAGTTTGAACAGTTCATCCAGAATGTCGCATGGTGTGCTTGCTTAACTGCGATATTTTTGTTACACAATTACACGTTTATGATTTTGTAATAAAATAACTTAGTAATAAGGAGTGTTATTTGTCCGGACCCTGTATTTGAACTAATACCATCCTCGTAACAGGTACATTTTCAGCTTGTTTTTACTCCATTATGCCCAGTTTGAAAAAAGTGACATAGGAAAGTGCATCCACACTTACAGTACGACTCACGTGAGGTCGCCAGTCTCCAAAGCGGGCACTCACAGATGCAGGCCTCTGGGGACTCAGGCCTGGTGTGGTCAGCCCCACCGCCGGGCGCCCGGGCTAGGGACTGGCTTCCACCACGGTGTGGCAGGGCTGCTGCTGCGCGGTTGTGAGTGCGACCCTTACCTCCAGGCAGCTACTGTCCTTGCACTGGAGGGAACCCTGAGCCATTAAGAAACTGGCTGCCCTGCAGTGGAGGCCCCGTGAAGAACGAGGCCCGAGGCCTCACGCAGACGCCCAACTTTCTGGCACCCGCCAACGCCAGCCATGTGCCGAACCATCGTCTTGGTCGTGCCAGGCCAGCCAGGCCCCGGAAACTGGAGCAGAGCCACCCGGCCCTGTTGACCTGCCGAATCTGGGACGTAATCAAATGGCTTGAAAACAACTAGATTAGGGGTGTGTGTATGTGTGTGTTACATATTAACAGATAACCAGAACAGGCCGGAAAATGGCACGAGAAGTATTATCTCAACTTAAGAAATATGCAAAATCAAGAGAATACTGTTTATTACTGGTAACTACTTCCTGCTTTATTTTTTGGCTACATTTTAGGTTTCGAACAATGAACATGTATTACTGTTTAACAAAATGATGTCACCCTCGACTGCGAAATCCATGTTTTAGTTCCACTGGCCGCAGCTGCACCCCCACCTGCCCCTTCACCCTTCAGTGCAAGGACACCGCCTATTGCCCAAGTTCTCTCAGGTGTGGAGCTGGTTCCACTTTAGGGGCCACGGCTCTGGGGGCCAAGGGCACCCAACACTGAAGGGAATCAGGTCCCCTTCTAATGCCCCACATTTGTCCCAAGCCCAGCTAGTACAGCGGAGTCTCTTCCAGGTCCCTGAGGAAGACAAACATGAAGCCGCCTTTCCCTCAGGACAGAGAGCACTGTGTCCTCAGTCCTGCCCCCACCCCAACTTTCCTCACAACACTGTGGGAGGTCACGGTCACTCTGCTCCAAAAGAAGAGGACAAAATGCAGAGTGGGACAACGGTCAGCCAACACAGCTCCAATGTAGAAAATGCTTGTTTGCTTAGCTAGAAACCACCACACAGAACTAGGGACAGAAAGCAATGGCCTGGCACCAGCCACTGAGCTGCCCCTTCTCAGTGCACACGCCGAGGAAGGCTGGCAGGAGCAGCGACTGGTATTTTAAACCTTCTTAAAGCTACTGGCGAAACCATCTTGCTTCAGTCTAACATTTAAATAACATCTAGTTCTGATTGGTGATGAAAGAGATGCCAGACACTCTGAAGTCAGCTCTAATGGGGCCGAAAGCACAGTATTTATGAAAGATACCTTGAAAAAGAAAATCAAAACCCACTTTTATTGATGCATAAGTAGACCCATGATTTGGAAGGGATGGTAAAGTTAATACAATACTCATCAAAGCAAATTGAAATACAAAGATCGGAAATTCCTTTACAGTGACGTGATGCTGTAATAAGTTAAGGAAACGGACTGCTCACTAACTGCTCTCATTTCATGTTCTTCACAAACTCTTCTCCTTTCTTGATAGAGGCTTTCAGCTCAGGAATGGCCTCAGCTATCATCTTCTCTTCAAAAGAGGAGACTTTGCCAATGCCTAGATTCTTCTCGATGCCCTTTTTCTGAAAGAAGGGAGGCAGAAGAGTTTTACAACAAAGTTAATTTCCATGAATGAGTTTCTTATGGAAAACCCAACTTGAAACTTCACCAGCGCTGCCTAGACTATCTACCCCGTGGCGCTGGGCAGCTGCGGAGGGGCTGCAAGCCCCCAGAGCTCGGGGTCAGTTACTCCTAGGGACCTGCGCTGTCACCTCGCGCATGTCCTGGACAGTGGTTCCCACACCAAGCTGGCTTCCTTATGTATAAAATAAGGGCACTACCTACCTCAAGGGAGGCTGTGAACACATGTGGGTGATTTGGCACACCAAGTACTCAATAATTAGTAGCCCTTGATGTTACTCTCCCTCACATGAACATACTTTTGGGTTCTAGTGTGTTTCCCGAGTTGGTAAAGGATGAAAGAAACATTTTAATACCCACTTGAATCCAATGGGTTTACGTAGGCCGATGTCTGACATCAGGGCAACGATAGTGTCCCTGCCACTGCCCACCTCCTTGAAAGACCCTTCCGGACCCAGGTGGCCTCCTGTGCCCCCTCCCACAGGCCTCAGCGCATCCCGCACACGCCTGTGCTGGACGCATCACCAAATCAGCGTGTTTTAGTGTTAGTCTCTCCACCACGAGGAGGAGCCCCTGAGGCCTGGGCCACGTCTTATTGATCTTTTAACATCTTGGTGTCTGAGGGAAGGGCTTCTGGGTGGACCAGCAAGTCACTAGCAAGTTTCTTTCTGGGAATGAGATGAAGGCCACCACATGTCTGCATGATTTCAGCAGCTGCCCACACCTACGAAATAGAGACCTGGCTTGATGGTTTGTGTGAGTGAGACCTAGGGGTTTGGGCTCACTGAAGACTCGAGAATCAACCAGACCAAACAAAGAGTCCGGCTGAAGCTCAGCAGAACGCCCAGCCGGGATCCGTCCCAGACACCACGAGTTTCAAGGGGACGACCAGCAGCACATTCCCACAAGGAAAACCGGTGGGGCAGGGAGCAAGAAACCAGGACGCCTGAACTGGAAGGAGCACCTGTGCACCACATGCAGACCTCCATGGAGGGGGCTCAGGCTGGCAGGCCTTGGGGTCAGGACGGGAATGGACAAGTACAATAGCTACAGGGAGACTGGTGTGGGGAAGCCTCTTCTTTCAGAGCTGCCCACAGGCTGGCTCTGAGATGGAATGAGGGTCTCATCGGAAAACACACCCGGGCAGCCACTAATGACCAGCTGTCAGACCCCCGGGCAATGCAATTCCTGTGCCGGGAGGTGCCAACCCCACAGTTCCTCCCTGCTCTTAATTCTGTGAAGCGCCCCCACCCTCAGAAACCCAAGCACACAGCAGGCAAATGCGGTGAGGCGCAGTGACCGCAGAGAGGAACTCTGAATTCAACCAGACAGGGCAGAGCAACCAGACAGGTTGCAACTAGATAGGGAAGAGCTCCTGAGTCTCAGAGAGAACTTCTGCTCCTCCTACAGTCAAGAGACCCAGCCTCCAGGATACGTACCCCCAGCAGCAACGGTGTGGAGAAATAGGGACAGTCTGTTTCTTGGGATTTGACAAAGGAACATTCGACAACTCCTTCCTTTCCGTTAATTGCATCCACAAGGGAAAAGACAAACCGGGCTCCAGCGTATGCCATGGACAGGGTGGCAGAGCCTGGGAGGACACGGAGAGGTTAGCCAAGCTAGCACAGAGGCCACAAAATCCAGGTGAGCCTGCCCCGCCCACTGAACAAGCATCTGTCAAAATCTCAGCTTTAGCTGTGAAGACTATGCCAGTATCTCTCATTTCACAAACTCACGAATGGCAGGAATTAGCTCTGCTAACCTCAAGCACCACTCCACTCTACCGAGCAAGCTGAGCTGAACCAACAGGAAACTTAGCAAGCATTTGCTCCTTGCTCAGGCCCTGTAGGCTTCAACTCTTGAACTCTTAACAGTGCCCCTGGCATCAGCACTCCACCCTCAAACTGCCTCCGAAAAACCTACCTGCTCCAGCCTTAGCCTTCACCACCTCGGTGCCGGCCTCCTGGATGCGCCCGGTGAGGGCTGTCAGCTGGTCCTGGGGGAAGTCCACCTTCGGAGTGCACTGCAAGCCAGAGACACAGGGGTCCCGTGAGCAGGTTCTGGCTGTAGGCACCGTGCCCAGCTCCCGCTGTCCTCACCCGACTCCCAGAGGGTCTCTCCTGTCACCATTACATGGGAAACTAAGAGCCTTTCTTTAAAGCAAGAGTAAACTTTGTTGGGAGGTCCCTACTCGTTTTTTAAGAACTTTTTATGTTTTGGACTCATTTTAGACTTAGAAAAAAGCTGTAAAAGCAGTACGAAGATTTCCCTCACCTGCCTCACCCTCATGGTAACACTGTAGGTGACGAACAGGAGACGAGTGTCAGTACATTCATTATTAACTGCACTGCAGACCTTATTTAAACATCACCGATCTTCCCACTGCTGTCCCTCTGCTGCCCTCACCGACAACAGGCTAAGTCATCTCACCGAGCCTACTCTGTCCCTTTCTAACAGTTCCTCAGCCCTTGTCTTTTGTGACACTTGTCAGGAGCACTCTCGTTCTGCAGAAGCCCATCAGGTGGGATCTGTAAGGCGTTCCCGCGGGATTTTCTTGTAAGGTCACGTAGCTGTGGCAGAAACACCAGATACTGTGTGTCCTTCTCAGTGCACTACGCTCGGGGGCGGCAACCCTGACTGGACGCGTCGTCTTCCCCGCCGGGCTCGTCTTGTCTCAGCGCCTCCGGACTACACTCACCGCACTCAGCTGTGGGCTCCTGAAACACGGGCCCCTGGCCAGGCCCCACACCCCAGGCACCCCAGACGACTGGGGCAGGGCTGTACCTGCAGCAGGAATCCTTTCAGAATACACAGACGGGTAGAACTTTGTCCGCCTGTCCAGAGTGCCTCCCAGTGGAACCTCTCAAAGGCGGTCACGCGATTAAGGCTTCCTGGCAAGGGCGCACACCCACCTGGGAGATCAGAGGGATGATGGTCTTCCCAGCGTGGCCTCCAATGACAGGGACGTTGACTCGAGCTGGATCCAAACTCTGGTCAACAAAGTGGGAAGCCTGATTAATTGTTTTTCTTTTTAAAAAAGATTTCATTTATTTATTTATTTTTAGACAGAGGGGAAAGGAGGGAGAAAGAAAGAGAAATATTAATGTGTGGTTGCCTGGTGCACAGGGGAGTAAAGTCAAGGCCAACTGTCCTGTGGGTGCACTTCTCACTAAACTGTGTACAATGTCAGCTACTTTAGAGAGGCAGCCCTCATCTGCAAAAATCAGGAAAAAAATGACCTCAAGTTCAAGGAGACTTTTTGGGGCCAAAGTAAGTGGTTCTGCTGGATTCACAACGAAAAAGATGAGACAGTGCGTTATGAGTGGCACCGAGGACCTCAAACCTAGTGCTGGTGCCAAACCCAGTTCAGGATGAGCCCCGAAGGTCCATCCTGCAGCCTAAGCAGGAGCAGACAACTGGCAAGATCGGACCTCCCCGAGGCACGCTACCACGGGTAACCCAACAAAGGGAGCCAGAACTACAGCCTAGGGATGGCAATTCCGAATGCTTAGGATTTGTCTAATAATTTATCTAACGATTAGCAGGTAATTCCTGTTAATACTAGTTTCCAGAGGCAATGACCTTGGAGAGCATAGCTGAGTCCAGGCAATGAGAAACCCAGAGAAAGACCAAACCCTGGATGCATCAGGGAGAAGTAAGAGAGGAGCAGGTGAGTCAAGCCTGAGTCTGGCTGGTTCAAGCCTGCACAGGTCTGCTTTTTAGATGTCGCTCCCCAAAATGTGGGAGCTACTTCCCACCAAGAGAGCAAGCCATTAAAAACATTTAAAACTCCCAAGTTCTAAGTGACCTGTGGGTACCCTGGTATCTTCTATGCCAATATGTGAGCCAAGGATGGCCCAGAGAAGTTCAGAAAAGGGAGCGCAAGAGATACCCGATGTGGCTCTTACCTTCAGTTCTGCGACGAAAGTGTTGGCTCTGACAACATCCAGGGTTGTGACCCCAAAGATCTTATTGGGATTGTACACTCCATGTTTCTTGAAAACTTCACTTGTGATGGGGATGGTGGAGTTAACCTAATAAATCCAAGAGAGAGGCATAATTTGCCCTGAGTTCTGAGAGCACAGCCAGGGAAGCGACAGGACAGGCCACAGCAGGCGGCCCCTGCTCAGCAGAGTGCTTCTTCCCCTCCACGTACACAAAGGAACCGGGGTTCGGACTGCAGTGGGTGCTCTTCCCTTCGCGGCCTCTGAGTCCACAGTTCAACGTGCATGAGACCCTTGAACTATCAACTTAAAAATGTGACGATGGCTCCACAGGGTATTGTCGCTCTAGCTAGAACTTACACCTGACCAGCTACTCCTAACAAAACACAGCACAGCACAGGGCTAAATGCTCGGAGGGAGGGCGCAGGGTGCAGTCCCAGCCCTGTCACTCCGCATGGTAACCCCGGGCAAACTACGTCAACTCCCTGGGGCTTGGGGCCTTTATCTGTAAATGAGGGAATGCTAGGGAACCAGGAACTGCAAACCCTGGGTGCAGCACAACAAAAGCCCACAAGCTACCAAACCGTGGCTGGATTTTCCAGATGGAGAAACTAAGGTTCAGAAAAGGGAAGTGATTTGCCCAAAGGCATACAGTTGGTTGACAGAAAAACCAGGTTAAAACTCAGTCCCTGCCAGAAGGCACCCTTAAGGAACAGATGTAGTTCACCTAACTTCCCACTTCGGTGTGTGAGTCTGAGTACACCCCCATGACGTCAGGACACCTTCGCGGACTGTGAGCTCTTGCACAGTGCCAGTGGTACCTACCGGATTTGAGATGACACAGATCATGGCCTCCGGGCAGTGCTGGGCACAGGCAGCAGTCAGGGTGGCCACGATTGTGGCATTGGTGTTGAACAGGTCATCCCGTGTCATACCTGAGAATAACCCAATCCAAGATGGTCACAAAGTACGAGGAGAAACTTCCTATGTGCCAAGTGCTGTGTGTTGGCTGTCACAGGAAATTAAAAAATGAAACAGGGTTTCTGTTCATCTGTCTTGCAGGGAAAATAGCCCAGTGTGACAAGTGCCAAAACAGAGATGTGCGGTGGTGGGGTCTGGGGAGGGGAATCAGGAAGGATTCCCAAGCGCTATGGTAAGGGTCAGGGTTAGGGAGGCAGGTGGAAGAAAAGGCATTCCGGGCAGGGTGAGACCTGGAGGTCTTTATGCTGCAGGCAATGGAGAACTTTCGAAATTTTTCCTGCAGCAGAGAGATCTGACTAGCTCCATTTTTCATGGAAAACTACTTCCTCACCCGACCTGCAGGGAGCTGCCCGGGAGGCTGTCGAGCACACACCTGGTTTTCTTGGGACTCCGGCTGGAATAACTACCAAATCACAACCTTTCAGGCAGTCTGGCAGCTGCTCAGGTCCGAGGTAGCCTAGAAAAACACCCACGAGAGCAATCTTACCGTTTGTGACCTAGAGGGACTAGCACACCTGTGGGGACAGAACCTGAAGGACGGCCCCACCTGCATCGTGACCGCTGGCCACAGGAAAGGCTGGCAGGCCCACTTGTGATGTGCTTGCTTTCCCTTGAGCGCTGCCGCCCTGTGAATCTGACACTTCTGGCTGGCAGCAACGCCCCCTTCACTCCACTTTCCTCCAGCCTCCATTTGCTGGGGCCCCAGATTCAGAATGGATTAACCCTCCCGGATGGTGGAAAACCAAACCAACTAGGCCGCTTATGTTCACTCACTAGCGCCTTCTTGGCTCCCAGTTAGAAGAGCTGCTTATTCTATGTCCTGATCTTCCTAACAAGAACTCCATCTCGGGTCAGCCCAGAAGGCACACTGAAGGCCATGAAAAAAGCCCCTTGTGCTGATAAACAAGCACTCTACTTATTAGCACTTATTCTGCTTATCCTAGCATCTAAGGGAAATAAGGTCTACTTTTAAGGATTTTGGGGACATTTGCTCCAATGACCAAATCTGCTTTGATTTTGACTGTTTCCTTATTTGCGAGAGCTTGAAGAAAATCAAGTCTACAACACAAAAACAAATGAGCAAACAAATTCAGAGTGACTACAAAAGGCTCATAAACAAATGAGTGTTGTTTACCCCTTTTTGGACAGTAATTACATACTTTATAGTAAAAACCTTAAACTAGTCATACTTACTAATTCTACTTTTAAGCCTCTAAGAAATAAAATATAATAAAGTTGAGGATGTTTGCCTTGACCGGTGTGCTCAGTGGGTTGGGTGCTGTCCTGCAAAGCGAAAGGCCGCTGGTTCAATTCCCATATCAATGTTTCTCTCCCTCTCTTTACTTCTCCACCTCCTCCTCTCTCTAAAAATAAATAAAGCCCTCACTGGTGTGGCCCAGTGGATTGGGTGTCGTCTCACAAACCAAAAGGTCACCGGTTGATTCCTGGTCAGGGCACAAGCCTGGGTTGCTGGCCAGGTCCCCGGTTAGGGCAACCAGTCGTTTCTCTCGTACGTTGATGTTTCTTTCCCTCTCTCCCCGACTTCCCCTCTCTCTACTAAAAATAAGTAAAAATAAAAATCTTTATAAATGAAATCTTAAAAAAAGATGAGAATGTTTACCATAACTTATATATTTATAGTAGAAAAAAATAGGAAAGAGCCCAATGGTCCATAGCACAGGAATAACACTAAGTAAGTGATAAATTTTAGTGCTGCTTCAAAACTGATTTCATCAAGACTCGGTGAGATGAGAAATGTTGCTAAGGTGCAAAGGTAAAACAAGCAGGATATATATAAATTATATGCAATCACGAATTACCTTTTGGGTAACATACCTACATTTCCCAAACAGGAAAGCAGACTTTCCTAAGGTGGCCATGCTCTGGGGAAGCTGGCAAGGGAAGGTGGCCTGCAATGACCAGGAACAGCGTTTCTTACTGCCCTAAGTCCCTCCCTGCGGGAGGTTCCCCAACTCCATCATGTTACTTTTCAAGTTAGGAAAAATTTCAAAAGGGAAGATCAGACCACTTTTATTTTTCTGAAAGGCACTATTATTTAAATTTTTATAGATGAGTCCAAAAAGGCGTGATCACTTGTGAAAGTTAACTCTAAACCGAACGCAGAAATCCCATCTCCGAGCATCTAGTTTCTTCCAAGGATCTTACTGCAAACTTGGACCTTGGTCTGCTGGAGAGAAGAGGTGTAAACGCTCCAGGGCCAGTGTGCCCATTACCTTTCACAGTCGCTCGGGTCTCAATGTGGCTCAGATCTGCAGCCACTCCGGGTGTGTGAGCAATATCGTAGAGGGTCAGGCGGCTCACCAAAGGGCTGTTCTTCAGGAGAAGCGAAAGGGGCTGCCCGATTCCTCCGGAAGCCCCGAGCACAGCTACTTTTGCATTGTTCTAAAAACAGGCAGAGAGGAAGAACGCTTAGGAAGGAATCAGCACTAAATGGATTCACATTAAAAGAATATACCTCTAGTACATTACTGCACTGGCTTCTTTTTTTAAAAAAAATTATTTATTTGTTAATTTTTAGAGAGCAGGGGGAGAGACATGTCAATATGTTGTTCCACTTACTTATGCAATTCATTGGATATTTCTTGTGTGCACCCTGACCAGAGGCGGAACCCATGACCTTGGTGTATCAGGATGCCGCCCTAACCAACTGAGCTGCCTAGCCAGGGCTGCACCGTCATCCTTTACTGCACAGGTGCCAAAGGGAGACACAACTGTACTTTCGCCGGTCCATAGATCCCATTTCCTTGTGAAGTGTCAGGCTTGCCTCAGGAAAACTCATGTCTATAAAGGTTGTGATAGGGTCCTACTTCACATACCCTCTGAAAGATGAGTAAGCTTTACTCTTTCAGGAAGCTGGACTGGTAACAGTAGCCTTACTTTCAATCCGCAGCTTTAATGATGATAACCACTTATTGAGCACCTACCAATGGGCTAGTCAGCACACGTGTGGCTGCAGGAATGAAGACCCCTGCTGGTTCTAGTGGGGACGAGTAAAGAGATGTGCCAGAAGCTAAGGGACAAGACCTACTGGTATGAACTGTGTGCAGGAGGGGTGTAGGGTGGGATGGCAATCAGCTATGTGGGGAAGAAGGATCAGGGAAGATTGCAGCACCATCTTGGCGGAAGCCTAAGGCAGGCTTAAGAGGGATGTGTGGATTTAAAAAGCTCCTTTTTCTATCAGGTGAGACAGACTGCAGTCTCAGACTCCCTACCCACATCAGTTCCCAGACTTTGGTGTGTACCAGAATTATGGGCTGAGCTTAGAAACAAATGAAAACGAAACGAAACGAAACGAAACGAAACGAAACGAAACGAAACTAAACGAAACAAAAACAGAGAAACAAAAAGAACAGAGGGCCAGTCTCTATAGGATCTGGTTTAGGACTTTACATTGCTATCAAGTTTCTCCAAGTGATTCTGACACCCACCGAGGTCTGAAAATTACTTTTGCTCCCCACCAAGCTGAGCAGAACAAGCAGCAGTTGGCCCTGGCACATCAAGAACAGTTTAAAAAGTGATAGTTTAGTAGTGGGGGGCAGGCTTCCAAAGAAGCTAGACTGCCTCATTAACACCTGGAAGGCCAGAGTAAACGCATTTGTATCACTTTATTATCAGCTTACTGGAACTGAAGTCCTGTGTATTACCCAACTTCCAACAATTGCTCCAGAGCTACTAGATCTAGTAACTGGTCATCACCTAATTGCATTTATTAAACTAAACAAACAAACAAACAAACAAACAGCTTTATTGAGATGTTATTTCCCTACATAGTTCACTCATTTAAAATGTACAATCCAATGGTTTTAGCAAAGTCAGAGTTATACAACCATTACCCTTTACAAAGAACCCTCATACCCAATGTCTTACTTCCCATTTCCCTATAACCACTGGCAACCACTCACCTACTTTTGTCCCTCTGGATTTGCCTTTGCCTATGCTGGATGTTTCACGTATGAATGGCATCTTGTAACATGCGGCCTTTTGTGTTGGCTTCTTTTACTGACCATAATGTTTCCAAGGTTTATCCACACTGTAGCACATATTGGTACCCCATTTCTTTTTTCAAAAAAGATTTATTTTTATTTATGCACAGAGAGGAAGGGAGGGAGGAGAGAAATGTCAATGTGTGTGGTTGTCTCTTGTGTGACCCCACTAGGGATGGACCTGGCCGCACGTCCTGCAACCCAGGCATGTGCCCTAGACTGGGAATCAAATCAGCGACCCTTTGGTTTGCAGGCCAGCACTCAATCCACTGAGCCACACCAGCCAGGGCCCATTTTTTTTATGGCTGAATAATATTCATCATATGGATATGCCTGCCACATTTTGTCTAGCCATTCATCAGTTGGACAATTGGGTAGTTTCTACCTTTGGCTATAATCAATAGCACTGCTTCGAATATGCATGTGTAAGTTTTTGTGTAGACATGCTTTTAATTCTCTTGGGTACACACCAAGGAGTGGGGCTGATGAGTCATGTGGCGACTCCATGCTTAATCTTTTTAGAGACTGATTTTCCAAAGTGGCTGATCCATTAAGGCTCATTAAATTTAACATGCACCAAATTTCTATGTGCCAAGTGCCAGACTGGCTTCCTAGAGTCAGTAAGACCTGCAAAGTGAAAGACAGGGAAACTTAAATGGCACCTAGTCTGACAAGTGCCATGGAGGAAGAGCTGCAGCACAAAAGGGAGAAAAAACTGTTGGAAGGGTTTCTGAAGGTAGGTAGTTTACCAGGTAGATACCAGTGGTGTGGCGGGGTGCGGGGGGTGGGGGGAGACATGGAGCATGGCCCACTCATGGGAAGCAGTCCCAGCAGTTCTTTACGACTTGAGCACCGTTGGATACACATGGAGAAAGGAAGAGGCAGGGCCAAGCACAGAATATCTAAGTCCTGTAAGCAACGGGGAACCACTGAAGGGCCTCACAAGCTGGGAAGAACATGACCAGATCAGTATCAGAAAGCTGTGAGGCAGAGCGAAGATGGAGTGGAAATGTACGAGAATGGAAGCAAGGACACTACTATGATAGTCTAAGAGTGACCGAAGGGTGGAATAAATGCAGCAGCAAGGGTGGGTGGGTTATGAGTGACTTGAGGAATAGTAGCAATAGATTTAAGTTACCCCCTACCTTTCTTCATTCATCTAAATGGTGAGTAGAGGGAGGAATCTGGGGTGACGACTTTCTGGCTGGAGTGGACAGCACTGTCTTTACACATGGAGGGAACTGAGGAGGGATAAGGGGTTTGGGAGAAAGGATAATGCATTGCTTGCATGTTGAGTTTGGACCACCTGAAACATCCAGACACATACATGTGGCTGGTAGGTCCCCAGACAAAGGGCTTGGTCTGGAGGCCATAGTATCTGTCCCGGGATTTACAGAAGCCATGGACGGGGCACAAAAGGGAACAGAGTGAGAAGAGCAGTAAGAACACCAGCACGTAAGGAGTGGGAGGAAGAATCTATGAAGGATGATGAACTGATACTTAAGGCCACCCCCACCCCAGAAATTTTTAACAACCAATTCCATGCCTGCTTCTTGGTGATCTTTCCTATGAAGGGCAGAATTTATTACAAAGAAATACCCTGCCCCAAACTCAAGCCATCCAGCTACCTCATTTATTGGGAACACTGGAGATAAAGTGGTGACAGCTGGCCATTTATCGGGGTCTGCTCTGTGGCAGGCATTGAACTTAGTCTTTCCTCATGTAATTCTTACAACTCTATTAAGCAATATCAACAGACTCATTTTACAGATGAGGAACTGAAGCACAGAGGTTGTAAAATACCCAGACTCACAAAGATAGCAAGTGATGAAGCTCAGATACAAGCCAAACATAGGCAATTTGAGACTTGACTTTGGTTGTCTTAAAAAGAGTCTTAAAGAAAATAGTCCTGGCTGGTGTAGCTCAGTGGATTGAGCATGAGCCTGGGAACCAAATGACCGCGGTTCGATTCCCAGTCAAGGGCACATGCCTGGGTTACAGGCCAGTTCGCAGCAGGGGACACACAAGAGGCAACCATACATTGATATTTCTCTCCCTCTCTCCTTCTCTTCCCCTCTAAAGATGAATAAAATCTTCAAAAAAATAAAATATTTAAAAAACACAAAAAGACAGTTTTAAAAAGAAATCTTAAAGAAAATAGATATAAGTCCTGCCCTGGAGCTCATTTCCATTGTTCAAAAGACATTCTGGTCTCATTCGTGGCCTTAAAATTCCAGCCGATCTCAATGATGTTGTTTCTAATCTGAAGTCAAATGAGAAGGGAGCCTACTCCTGACTGGCAGGCAGGCAGGCAGCAGTCAGAAGTTAGGAGATAAACTGAGAAAGGACGGCAGGGGCAAGAATGCAAAGAACTGTGTGTGGCCATCTAGTGCGGCCGTCTACTCTGGGTCCTCACACTGCTGCTGCACACTACTCTACAGCAACTGGTGTTGGTAGGACCGTGCTTCCATCGCCAGAAACAAAAATCAAACCAAACAAGCCCCAAACCAAAACAACCCCGCACAATGCAATCTGTTAAGTGAAAACTCTAAAAGCATATAATTTCAACTAAGATTTGAAATGATTTTTTAAAAGATTTTATTTATTTATCTTTAGAGAGGAAGGGAAGGAGAGAAGGAGAGAAATATCAATGTATGGTTGCCTCTCGTAAGTCCCCTGCTGGGAACTGGCCTGCAACCCAGGCATGTGCCCTGACTGGGAATCGAACTGCGATGGTGTGCTTCGCAGGCCCATGCTCAATCCACTGAGCTACACCAGCCAGGGCCTGAAATTATTTTTTAAGTTGATGCTTTAAAGATGAACCCTGGAACTTCACTAGCCAGATCAACTCAGAACCCAATCTGGTAACCATACCCACTTTCAGATCTTCAATTACCTGTCCCATATCTTTTCCCTAATCCCAGGGATTCCCAAATTCCAATTCCACATTCCCAGCTGCTTAAGGCATTCCACTGATCCCACAAACCCAACTGTCCAGATAAATTTATCCTCTCTACCTCTCCCATCTCCAATGGCACTTGTGTTCTTCCCAACTCAAAACTTTGGAACCAGCTTCTGCCTCTTCCCTTATTAGAGACACTCAGGACATGAAGGACTCAGCATCTCAGTACTTCCCATGCTCTAACTTGGTCATCGGCACCACCTCCAAACCAACCTTCATAAAATTCAAAGTTTTAACCATTTCCTTGCTTCTGAAGTTCCTCATGCCCGAATTACTCAGCATGGCTTCCAAGGCTGACTAGGGCAATGGTTCTAACATGAGGGCTTAACACAATTCCACTGGGGTGCAGGATGAAAATGTTAAAGTCATGTTATTTTTATCTGATAAAGAATTAAACTCTACCAAGAAACAGACTGACACGATGCCCTTAGTAGGGTCCTTAGCCAATCAGTCCCATATGATACACAAGATGAATATGGGGGGCGGGGGGGGGGGCGCAGATGATCTCCTCCCTTGTGCTGCTGTTTTCAGTGTGCTGAGGTGATGTTACTGTCTGTACATAACAGAATTTCATCACCTTAGTTAGCACTTATAAAAACACATCCCTTTAGTGGTGGAAGCTTTACAATGAAGAAAGAATCTTTGGCACTGCAGATGTTAGCTCACGATCTCTGGAAAAGATCTGTCTCCAAACTCAGTAACCTCTTCTAAGTTGAGAAGTGGTTGTCAACAGCACACTGCTTAGCAACTGTTTTGAAAATGGACATGGAGGAACACTTCTTTCATTTACACTTTTGCTTTTTAAAGTTTGTTAGTTTTTAAGTTTCTATTTTTTGTTTGTTATAACATACATGGTCTGTCCAGAAAAAGTCCAGCCACTGTTAATATAATGAAAACAGTTTACATGACATCAATGTAACCTGGCAGCTAATGAGAGAGAGGACTGGAATGTGCATGTGTGAACACTGACAACTTCACTGTACTAGTCACTGGGGGCAGTAGACTCTGTTGAGTGTTCCGTGTGGCCGTCGCATTCAAAATGACTGAGCAAGCAGAGCCGTGCATCTGCATCAAATTTTGCATTAAGGTTGAACATTCACTCCTTATGCAGAAACTATTCCAATGATTCAGAAGGCCACATCTATGGGCAACTGGTGATTGACAGCTTCATCACGACCACACACCCACTCATGCATCAGATCTCAGGAAGAGGTTTTTGGTGAAACATCAAATCACCCAGGTGACTTGGCACCCCCTACAGCCCAGATTTGGCCCCCTGCAATTTCTAGCTTTTCCCAAAACTAAAATCACCTTTGAAAGGGAAGAGATTTCAGACCATCGATGAGATTCAGGCAGGTGATGGCAACTGGGAGAACTGGGTGAGGTCCTAAGGTGCCTACTTTGAAGGGGACTGAGGCATCACTGTCCTGTGTACAATTTTTTTTTTTTGTATCTTCTTCAATAAATGTCCTTGCTCCTCATATTACATGGCTGGATACCTTCTGGACAGACCTCGATTGCACTAGTACGTATTTGTAGCAATACATATATTGAGGCTGCTGTGTTCAACCCATCTGTACTCTAAAGGATACAGGATGTGAAGTCTCTAGCCAATATAACATTTGGCCGATGCTTACCTTTCGGACACTCTACTTTCTCAACATCTCTCCTTGTATGTGTAATAGGCATTTTAAACTCAACATATCTAAAACAGAGCTCCTGATACCCTCTGCCTGCCCCAAACCACTCTCTTCCAGCAGTCTTTTCCCCATCTCAGCAAACACCAAATGCTTCGTGTCCCCCACGCTGCTCCTTCTCTCAGGACCCCTCACCAAATTGTCCGTCAGCAAATCCCGCTGTCTTACCTTTGGCCAGCTCCTCCTGCCACTCCTCAGCATCAATCTTCATCACCCCTACTTGCCTTAAGTTTACTAAGTTTTGGCTTATCTCAAGCGCCACTTCTTATTCATCTTGATATCCCCTGCAACACCCAGCCCCGCTCTTGGCAAGCACAGACAATATATTTTCCAAATGAATCAAACTCACAGAAGAATGATCTGAAGGACAAACTAAATAAGAAATTCGGAATCTCCTTTAATAATCAAATCCCTTTTGGGTGTGGCAATGTGGGTGTGGCAATGTGGGTGTCTCCTGGATTCTGATTTTTGTTGTATCAGAATTGCCTGGGGCACCTGGTAAAAAAACAGAGGCTCAGGTCCTACCCTTCTTCAATGAATCTGAGCCTCTGATCTTTATGAGCTTTCAGGGGATTCTGCCACACACCAGAGTTTGAGAACCCCTGTCCTAGAAGAAATAGCTAAAAATAGTTTAAGGCTTTAGTAGTCCCAGGTCAAGTATTGGCCTGTTACAACACCTGGAGGGAGGTTAGGCCCAGTACATCACAGCATAGGATCCTTTAGAAAGGCCTTAAAATGAAGCAGTCTTCAGGTTCTTAAAGGTAAGCTTGCTGATCCAAAAGCCATTGACAGTGGTCAGGAGAGCTGAATTTTAATCCTCTAGCCAAATAACCGTGTAACCGCGGACTAGTCCTCTACCCTCAGTACCACGTCTGCCTGTACTATGGAGTTAGAAATTACACTTTATTTGCATAATGCAAGAAGAGCAAGGTTATTTACTCAAAGTTGTATAAAAACATAAATAACTTTTGGCCTCAGAGCCCTGGCTTCTCAATCCTGAAGGTTGCAGTGCAAGAACAGACCTTCCGCAGAACCCGGGGATTAGCTAGGGAATGGGAGAAGTGCGCCAGTTCTGGAATTGGGCTAACTCTCCCCTCTCTCCTGCGCTTCCCGCCTGGTATGAGGGCCAGCCTAGGGTGTCACAGCTGCCGGCCCGTACCCGGCGGCCCTGTGGAGCAGGCTGGACCGGGGTCCGGGCAGCTCGCGGGCCACAAACGCATGTGCCCCAGGCTGGGGGCTTCTGCCTGCAGCTAGCTCCTCGTGGGACTTACCTGGGCCGAGGTGCTGAAGCTGCGGCGGAAAGCGGCGCCGGCAGGGCGGGCGAGGGCGGAGAGCATGGCTGGGGCAGGTAGGGGGCAGACCAGCAAGTGAAGGAGCTGGCAGCAAGCAAGTGACTCCAACGACCTCCACACCGCTCCCGGCCTTCTGGCTCCGCTCCGCCTAGCCTCGCGAGAGGACCCAACTTCCGGCCCCGCCCCACCTCCCAGATCTCGCGGGGTCACAGCCAGCTTCTGCTGTCCGGAAGGAAGGCACCGCGGCGCTCCCAGCTTCCTCTGTTGTTAGTGTGAAGCGGGGCATTAATATCCCCGGTGTTTCGTACAGCCAGTCCGGGACGTTGTCGGAGTGGGAGGGAGAGCCCCTCTCCTAAGAGGTGGAAGAGGACGAGGTTTAAGCCGGAAGAGCTTTAGAGGAGCTTTTTTCCAGGTGGGGCTCCAGACAAAGGCTCTGACTGGGAGACCGGCCAACATCCCAGCCCCCATCCCCAACCTTAGTCAGATATACTCCTGCCCCCAGTAGTAGGAGGGGCCTCCCAGCTCTGGAAAACCCTGGAAAAGAAAAGGAGGGGAAGAGAGCTTGACGGTCCTGGGGGTAGGGTGGAAGGATTCTAATCTGTCGCTCCATGCACTCCCTTGCTTTCATACACGTACCGCCCAGCCACTTCCTCGAGGTTCCACCACCGAGACACCACAACTGAGAATGGCTGACCCTGAGCACTGACTTAGCGCTAGGCCCTGTTCAGTGAGCCTTATAGGACAACGAGCCTTACAGGATGTGCCAGCCTTGTGTTAGGAAGGAACTATCTAGGTAACTGATGTGGTCAGCTAGTCCCTACATCTCAGCTTTGCCCCTACTGCTATGAACTTGGCCACATTGTTTCTACTTTAGGGACGAAGAAACTGGCTGCTGTTAAGGGGCTTTATTCAGAGTTCACCGGGACAAAGTAAAGAGATGGTTTCTGCTCAAAAGGAGTTTACAATTTAAATTTATACATTAAATTTAAGCTTCAAGCCTCCCCCCCCCCCCCCGCTATTTTTTGGGCATACAGAGAAACCTTGCCGTCACCTCAAAAAGTTGAGTCAAGTGGGGCAGATAGATGTGCTGCAGTTTGTTGCCTTGAGAGAGGAACGCACAATCCTGGGGGGGGGGGGGGCGGGGGGGTTCAGCTTGCCTGAAAAGGGTGGTTAGTTTGGAAAGCAGAATGAAAAATAGTTAGCATGAGCGCTAAAGACAAGGGAGTGCCTGCCTGGTGACTGGCTGACTATTTTCTCCCTTCCACTCCTTTATTGAGCTACAAAGATGTGTCAGCCCCATCTTGGAGCAGGGTGTTCAACTGTGAACAAGACCCACGCATTTTCTGCCTTCAAGACGCTCAGCGTGTAGTGGGAAAGAGGTAAATTGATGTGGGAAACACTAGAATAATTATGAGGTACTGTGGGAACAGAGAGGAGGTGTATCTAACTAACCCAGCTCGGGTGGGAGTAGGTGCCATGTGAGAGAGGACTCTGAATCATGAAACGTCTAAGCTGAGAGACATATAGAAAGAGAAGGACCCATTCCACTCCAGAGGAGGAAGAGAACCTTGGGCATTGGAATTCTCAAAGGAGGGGTGCTAGGAGCTGGGCATTTAACAATGGAAAATTGATGAGGATCCCAGCTCGTGGGGGTCGCGACATTGTGGAAGGGGGAGAGACATTCACACTACCCAGTCCTGTGGAGAAAAAGGGCAGCCATGGCTTTTTCTCTCAAGGGGAGCAAAAAGCTGTAGCCTCCGCCATGACAGGCCTTTATTGGGTTTCTGCTCACATTACATGATGGTCCTCATTTACTATGCACAGGTTGTTTTAGGTGGTTACCTTTTACAGAAAAAAAAAGGAGCCAATGCTGCTAATCACATCACAGAAGAGGGATATTTGCAAATGAAAAGGGAAAAGTAGTTGAACTGGTTACACTCCATCCTGGGGGTTAGCATTTAGTTTAAGAAGTTATAGTAAACACTTGTCTCAATTCAGGGTGAGGCAGTTTTAGCAAAAGCAAGACTCAAGTGACCTGGGCACATTGCAAGACCTGATTCCCCACGGGAGAACCTATCTGTGGGCGTGGGTCCTGTGCATCTCTTGAGTGGGAGCTGGGCCCACTCTATGCAGAAGTGTCTCCTACAGAAAATGTTTAAAGAAGAAAAGAGCCCAAAGGAAAACCCAGAGGTAGGAAAGCCTAGGCTTATATTTAGGGGACAGTGAATAGATAATTTCTGATGAAATGGGGACACGAGGAGGAGCAGTGTCCTTTATCTTGTCATTGACCATGTTCTCTGGTTAATTATTTGCCTCTGTCTTACCATGAGAACTTTCAGCACCATGAGGTTGGGTATGTCTTTCATCTCTTTGTCTTTATTGTCTGGCACTGACCAAGCTGAGAGTGACACTTTGAGTTGGGAGAGAGTTGAATGTTTTTAGATATATCTGGAAAAAGCAGGTTGGAGAAACCAGGTTGAGCAGGACCTATGAACGTTAGCTGAGTTTTTATTTTATTCCTTGGGAAGCAAGTGTTTATCAAAGGTTTTTATGCTGCCATCAGAACTGTGAAGGAGATTAGACTGACCTGGGCAGGCTAAAGATTCCACAGGAAAAATGTGGGGGGCGGGGAGATTGTGTAGGAGGTTATTGTATGTGGCGATAAAGATCTGAATGATGATGGCATTCATAGAGAATCTGGGGCCAAAAGAGGGAACAGTATCATGGGAAGAATCTAGAGTTTATGCCCATCTGGGCTTAAGAAATGAATGAAAGGGATGTGGAATATTAGTCTGAGAGAAGTAAATATGTACAGAAACAGGGAATGCTGGGGTTGTGTGGAAGGATAGTTGGCTAGATAAATAACGAAAATAAAGCACTTCATTTGATGGGCCGAATTGGAAGTGATGGTGAGTTGTCCATGTAGAAATAATCAGCGGACAAATGGGGAATTACTTCCAAGAAGAAATGTGGGATTGAAACACAGGAGGAAGCCAGGCCTGAATTCATCTCTATAGAAGGGAAAGTTGAGGCCGTGAGAGAGAAGCCGTTAGCCCTGTCAGCATCTCCACAACACCTCACTACCTGCCAAGTCCTCTCCTGGGGCCATTCCAGACAACTTAACAGCAAAGGTGTCCTTACACGCAGTTCCTGTCTGCTTCCCTTTAAATCCCAAGATAGTTCATAACAGTCTGGGACGGCTGTTGTGTCAAGCAATGACTGCCAGGTGCTATGCTCTGTTTTGCATGTGTAACTGCTACACGCAGGGCTGTATTCAAGAAGTCTAGTACAGTCATAAAAACTTTGTCTTCATCTCTGCTCTTTCTAGGAATCTTTTTTTAAAAGATTTTATTTATTTATCTTTAGAGGGGAAGGGAAGGAGAAAGGGGGAAAAATGCCATTGTATGGTTCTTCCCATGATACTGTTCCCTCTTTTGGCCCCAGATTCTATATGAATGCCTCTCATGAGTCCCCTGCTGGAAACTGGCCTGCAACCCACGCATGCGCCCTGACTGGGAATTGAATCTCAATCCTCTGGTTCACAGGCCCGCACTCAATCCACTGAGCTACACCAGCCAGGACTCTAGGAATCTTTACTTGCCCCTGGATTATATCTGGTCACCAGGACAGACAGACTTACTGCAATAGCCTAAATGTCCAGATCACATTAATAGTCAAAACTTTGAACTTAATTCAAAGTTAAAAGTGTCTCTTCTTGAGCTTTAGTTAGGCTCCACTTTGGGAGAGGGGGTAGTTGACTTATGTATTTCTCCATCTTGCTTTCTTGTCGTCCCTCTACCCCAACACCATGCAATGGAGGCTTCAGAGCCATCAGTATTTTTTTAATAACATGTATAATTCTTTCTTTTTAATATATATTTTTTAATCTTTAGAGGAGAAGGGAAGGAGAGAGGGAGGGAAATATCAATGTATGGTTGCCTCTTGTGCATCCCCTGCTGGGAACTGGCCTGCAACCCAGGCATGTGCCCTGACTGGGAATCGAACCGAGATCCCCTGGTTCTCAGGCCCTCACTCAATCCACTGAGCTACACCAGCCAGGGCAGAGCCATCAGTATTGATGGAGGGGAATATAAGAGTAGAGCTAGGGGCAGGTAAGAATCTTTGTCATCTGGCATTAGTATTTTCTGGGCTTGGTGAGAATTTAGCTGATTCCTCCATGCAGTGCTTTTGTGGATCTCTCTTACCTGCAGTTCTCTTGACTTAGTGGTTACACTTACCTTGCTGCTTTCAGTTGCTTCCTCAGCTCCTGGTTTCTTGAATTCCCCACTACCTGCAGTTGGTCCCTTGTTCCTCCAGATAGCCCCTCTTGGGCAAAGAGCCATTTAAGATGGCTTTTAGTTGGCCTCTCCTGCCTGGCCCACATCTGGTCTATAGGACACATTAATGTATCTTTTGCCTTAAAATTTGGGAATGCAGGCTATTTCAAATGCAGCTGCATCTCTTTGCTTTGTTAACAGCCTGAGACTTTTCAAGCTGGGGGCCCAGCATCAGCCTCTGTGCCTGCATAAGCTTCAGAGGGCACAGGCCAAGTTATTCTAGGGGTTTTCTTTCTGGTTTCATGAATTGTTTCAAGAAAGCTGAGACTTGTAAATGTTTGAATAAGAAAGAAAGACGCTAACAGAGGGAGTGAACTTTGAGATGTGGAAAGGAGAGGGCTGTTAGGAGAGGGGGAGGAGGAAGGATTAGGTAAGAGAGGGTGAGGTCATAGGACATTTATCCCTCTGACTCTGGGAGAAAGCTGTAAGGGCAGCCAGAGAGCAGAGGGAAGGAGGGCCTTTTATACCTAGTAACCTTAACCTTCCCAGTAGGAACTAGAAAATTACAGGAAAGTTGCTCCACTGGGACCCAAGGAGGGTGAGGGGGTTTGGATAAGAGTCGTAGGCTTTAGGGAAATGAGGAATGATGAGAAAAGGACAAGCTGGTGGCTGTGGGGGCCAAGCTGAAGTTCTGTAGTGTGTATTTTCTGTGTGCCTGCATCCTCATGGTTTCCTATGTCCAGACCCCATAATAGGGTCATAAACATACAGGTGGAGTTGTACACACAGGTGCACATCTGTATACACACCTGTGTATTCACATCTTTGAATACATGAACCCATGGATCTATGCAGGGGATTTATTTTCATTTTTTATT